GGGGGGCCAAAGGCATGGATCGCCAGGGTGCTGACAGCCAGGAGGCAGCACTGGGGTGGGGGCAGGCACCCTGGGGTACTTTGCCAGCCGCCTGCCTCCACGGAGCCCAGCTCCCTGGGGTGGGGGAGACGTGCTCGCGGCATTCTCCTGCTGCCTGCCTTCAGCAAAACCGCCTGCCAGAACAGCAGGGCCCCTCGTTGCCGGAGATGGGGTGCTGGACAACGGCAGGGTGCCAATGCCAGCGGCTGCTCCATGCCTGCTCCCTGGCTGCGAGGGGAGGCTGCCCGTGGCCGTCAGCCTTGCCGGGGCCGGTGGGAAGGGGCAGCTCTGAAGCTGCTCTGCGGCCGTGCCAGCGGTGGGGGCTGGCGTGTTCCTGCCAGCTGGGGCGACTGGTGACCTCTCGCCTCCATCACTTCGGCAGGAGGGTCCTGCGTCCTCGGCAGTGGGAGGGAGTGCATGAGCACCGGCAGGGCTCCCATCCAGGCGCTGAGCTTCTCTGAAGAGGGAGGTGAGATGTGCGTGGTCAGCGGACTGAGGGGAGATGCGGGCCGTTTGTCCTCCGTGCCTGTGCGTCTGGCCGGGCCGGGCAGGGCTGTGCGTGTTCAGGCAGCTGCCACGCTGCGGCGGTCCTGTCGAGTCAGTCTGGTCCTCAGCAGCTTCAGCTGGCCCTGCAACCATGGCAAGCGAAGCTCCCCGGGGCAGCCCCTTGGTAGCTGGGGTGGAAGTGGGGGCTCCCAGAGGCTGTTACAGCATTTGACTGTTCAGTTCCCTGCCAGGTGCTGCAGGACCGGATGACGACAACAGCAGAGGGGATGACGTGCCTGGGGCCCCGGAAGACGATGTGGAAATGACTCCGGCTGCTAATGAACAAGTCGAGGCACAGAGGGTACACTTGGGCAGGGGCTCATGGGGGCAGCGCCACTGCCTTGCTCCTTCCCCAGAGCCCTGCTGCCCCGCGCTTCGCTGCCTGGTGCTGCGGAAAACTCACTGGCTCGCTCTGTGTCTGTCAGAGCGCGCCCC